CTGCATGTCTCTCTCCTCACATGGGAATGTTTTATAGCAAATTACCCCTCCCAGAAAACAGAAGTATTTGGCTCTGAAAATCTAATAGCAATGCTGCAAATGAGAAAGATAAAATATAGAATTTCTCTTCAGGAAACATTGTGAATACTGGGCAACAGTGATCTTAAGGTGTTAAATGTACAAAGTCAGGAATAAGACTTCATTAAATAAATCACTTGTACCCATTTGTCTTAAAAGCTGGTTTTGTTTCCAGTATCCTCACAACTACAAGGTATTTAGCAAGCTAAGAACCCAACAAAAAGATAAGATACACTGTCAGGGGGCTGACTGATAAATGAGGATACTAGAAGATTAGGTCTATATAGATTAGAAAAAGACAAAGAAGAGGTGAAATACAAGTATACAAAACAAAAAGGGAAAGACTATATCTACAACTGACTTGGGAATCTTCACAGAACATCATTAACCCATGCAGCTCATTGCCATAAGGTATCAATGAGATTAAATACATTATATATATGGCTTCAAGATTTTGCAGTTACAGGAAAGCAAATAGATTTCTAAGGCACAGAAACTCTCCTGACATTAAGTTGGAAGGCCACCATTAGGATGAATCTTTCATTAGGCAAGCTATGCTGTAATTGCCTTCAACAACATTTCTTATGGTTTGATCAGATGAATCAGCTCTGTTTGAGAATTAATTCTAAACTCATCAGACTGCGAGTGCAATGTGGTTGGGAATTCCTGTCTTCCTATTGGCCTGAAAATTTGCACCTCACTTTGAGCACGGTGAAGATATGAAGCTGACAGATGACCAGAATATCTGTGGCATGAGTTTCATTGCTGGTGGCTTCTTGTGCTAAGGTAGAAAAAAAGTGATTTACACGAGCCTCCTTTCATGGAGTTTATGTACTGTTGTTCAGTTGTCAGCAATGGGTACATATGTAGAAAACTTAAATTCTGGTGACAGAGAACTATGTCTTTCTTGTCCATTATCTGTTAGTAGCCCCCATGTGAAAGCATTTCCTGTTTAAACACTGTTGTGGCTGAAGTTCTCTGAAATAAGTTTTATTTTAGCCTGTTCCAATTTAGCTACTTTTCTGTTGTACTGTGCTGTCTACATTTTGAACATGGTATGTAAAGAGCCCCACAGAAGCACAGAATGACACTTTCTGACCAACAGACCACTGACAAGGGGATGATGTTTCAAAAGAAAGCCTTGTTTTGTTAATGGAAACAGGAATGAGGTGCCCCAATCTCAATGGCTGTGTATGCCAGTGGCTTCTTTCACTGATATCTTTAGGAGCAGCTCTAGCATGTCCCTTCTGTGGAGTGGAGCTTGTCAAAAAGCTTAATGCTTCCTCCTGACCTCCAGGGAGCCCTGGGTGATACCAGAGAGTCTTGGCCTGGCTGAAAGAAAGCGCAGAAAACACGCCCTCCCCTGCAGAACGGAACCATCACCACAAATCACCTTGTGAATCCTGCTCTTGAGTAGGGGCTCTGCTAGGCAGCCACAGGGAAGTCTGTGGGGCTTCAAAGCAAAACACATTTTAAGAGTTTGCAAATATGTTCATGTAATTCCAGAATGTCAGCTGGAGGCCTGAGATGTCTTAAATGGTTTTTGTGGTAGAAAATCCCACCCGGCTATAGTTCTGCTAAAATCTTTAGCTGTAACCACAAAGCTTCTTTCCAGATTTTCTCTGAGTGATAACTGTTTCTTATGTCTCTAGTTTAAAAGACTGCATTTAGACATTCGTGTACCTTTCACTCACTATAAGTAGTCATGATAGGGAGGAATCAACCAATTTGAGTTGAAAGAGTGAAGTTAACCCTAGCTATTTTAAACATTAAATCTGAGCCCATAAAACATATGCCTTAGAGTAAGCTTTTTACAATCATGTAACTGATCGTATCCAGTAAGTAATGATCACTTTATTTTTTTCTAGCATAATAAAAATACAGAAATGGATATCTGCAATATTGTTCCAATTTAACTGCTTAACACATTTGGTATCATTACAACAGGTTCCCCTGAGCAGACAAGGTCTCCCTCATGAGAGATAATAATGCTAGAAGGCCTTAATAAAGCAAATGTGAACTGGACAGCACCTCATGAAAAGGAGCTCAAGGATAGTACCAGGTGATTTGGAGGTAGATTGGAGCCCTAAAAGTCATTTTCTTCTCACACTGCACAGAGAGGCACAAGGCAATTATCACTTGGGAGTTTTTGTGAGTCAGTGTTGTCCCACTGGGGAATACCAGGGTAACTTGCTAATGCTTTCAGAGCAGTTGGGCATGTTAGAGCTGGCAACATGGTGGACATTAGACAGCAGATGGTAGGAAAGAAGCAGGTATTTTCCTCACTGAAAAGCCTATAAAATCCTTGTCTTGCACATGTATTCACATGTGTGTATTCACGTTTTTGTGCACCCTTGCAGTCACTTTCTTTGATACCAATCTTTCAGAGAGACTTCAAGTCCTAGTGCTTAGTCTTACAACAAATCCTTCTTCACCTAACGATTGTTGAGGAAACTGTAACCTCAGAGTGGAACTAAAAAGCTCAGAAACCCAGGGGGAACAAAAAGAAGTTATCAGATTTGTTTCAGGTGTTATGGTTTCTAAATAGCTTTTGAGATATTTTTTTCTTCACTTTTTAAGGGCTCAATGCAAGAAATATTCCATATAATACATAATAATCTGCCCAAATCAAGTAACAACCACTGCACAAGAATGAACAATGAATCATTAGTAGAGCAGGGCATGAGCTTGTATTTTTGGAGTCCTTTTCTTCTGCCTTGGTGACAGGACTAGCCTCTTTCTTTGCATAACAAACATGTAATAATTTGGTCTAGACTCTTTTATTCTAAGCCACAGACAGACAGGTAGGAAAAAAAATTCCAGGAAAGAGCCTACTGTGCAACCCCATTTTTCTGTGCTCTCTTTAGAGGAACAGATTAGGGGTAATAAGCAGGCCTTGAACAAGAACAGGCTCTGGAAATATCTTAAATAAGCCTCACAAAGTTAGAAGGTTCATTTATATTACAACCCCATGCTTGGTTTTGGGATAGTTATTTACTGTTTCATACAACAGTAAATGGGAGAGAAGGTAAACCATGACATGACAGTAGAATATTTTTTAAATCTTCTGGGCAGCACCTGTAGGAGTTTTCTTTGTAAGTCTGTTCCTTTCTTCTGAAATCTTCTAACCAAACTACAATTTGTGGGTGGATAGCATGGAGTGGGTGGTAAATAGCAGACAAAAAATAGCTCTCAATTTGAGAAAGTGCAGGGCCATTGTGGCCTGCAATAAGGGGCGTGAACTGTGATGAAGATGAACAATTATAAAGTATTAATTGCTATGTGATGGTTAATTAATATATCCTCAGATTGTGATAGTCTTAATTAAAAAAATGAATTATATTAACTTCAGTAAGATTAATTTCAAGATATGATACTATTGAGTAAGTGCATAGGCATTAGAATTCTGCCCATGAAAAGCATGTTATTTAATTCTAGTCCTGGATAAATTTGATCCATGGAAATTGATGATATTCATCTGAGAGAGCTTACCATGAAAATGCTTTTATAGGGGACCTGATTTTGTAGCCTACTAATAGTCTGATGAAGCTGAAGGGAACAGAAGTGTTTCTGTTGTCTGTAATATGAGGGTCTGGGGCCTTGAGGTCAGCAATTCAAAATTAATGAACACAGTTTATATATATACATTGCCATACTCCAGTAACATCTTACTCTCGACATTTCTTTCTACCTGTAAAGCTCTCCTTACAAAGTTTGTAGCAACATCTATTTTTTTTCCTAGTGTTGTTTATACCAAGAACTTCAGTAAGGAAGCATCACTCCATAAAATGGAATCTCAGTAGCCTGCCTTGGCTCTGTTCTGTAGTGTAACACATAGAGTCATCCTTCTTTTCCCTGCCTGAGCAATGGCACTACTTAAAATCCTGTCTTGGACAATGGAAGCTAAATGTATTTCCCTACACAGGACTGAACTCTGACAAAATGTGAGCCACAGGAGGCAGATTCTATCTGCCACTCAACCAAAGCAGGGAAGTGTAAAGATTAGCTTTTAGAGTGCTCTTATTTATGTGGCATAGTTTGGAAGTGCTGTGATTCCATGAGTATCACTCAGAGGTTATTTGTGACAAGAAGCCCATAAATTGGCCACAGTGCAGGCTACATCCATGTGGTAGTATGAGAAGAAGTTTACTGCAGGAGCGCATCTGCCTCTACCTCTCCTGCACCCCTCAAGCTCCTCAAATGCCGTTTCTTTTCTCTCACTGCCCAGAGCTCTTCCATGCCTGCTTGTGATAATGTGGGTGTCATCCTAGCAGGGTATGAAGTTTGTTTTTTAAGTACCTGAACTTTTGAAGAGGTATTGTCTGAAGTACGGGTTTTACAGCTCTCATATGGTGTAGAAAGCTCAGAATCAGATTGTTTTTCAGCAATCTGAGTCATGAGTTGGCAGTAGTGTCAGCTCGAACTAACTTGCCCCTCAGTTCTCAGATTTGTGCTGTCATCTTGGTATCCATTTCAACGGTATCTGCCTTCATTACATACAAGAGGCAAATGTACCACTTGATTCAGGTTCATAGTAGCTTTATTAAAATTCAAACCCTTCTGTTTGCAGCATGTATCAGTTTTAAACAGGTAAGACATTTATATGTATTCCTACAAGTTTGTGAAATACAGATTCCAGATATGGTTTGTTCTTACTTGAGAAAAGCAAAGGGAAAAGCAAACCAGTTGTTTCAGGTTTGTCTAACATGAGGATGAAACTGAAGTAACTTCACAGATGTCAATGGGTCGAATAAGTCTTCCCTAGGACAAGACTGAACAGGCTTATATTCCTAGAGTTACACTGAGCTACTCCTCATCATCCCTTGATGAGAGTATCCCTACATCATTGTAAACTGAGCTAATGCTGCAATATTGTATACAAAAATAGAAGGCCCAAGAATCTTCTTCTCAATATTGCACTGATCAGGTGATAGCCTGAACCATGAAATGAATTCGCTTATAGATTATATAGATATGACTAAACATTAAATTATATAGCACGTTCTTAAAACCAGCACTCAATGAAGAACATTCTGATCTCCATCAGGATGGAGGTCTACACTCTTCCAGCTCTATGAGAGGTCAACTTCTTCCCTCTAGTATGTCAAATTATCTGTCATTCACCCTTAAATGCCAGGCTGGTTAAGACAACAAGGATGAAAATGTACATTCAGTTGTAAATAAATATTAGCAAGCATTTCAGAAAACAAACAGTGTAACTGAGTTCAGTCATAAAATGAAGAAATCAGCAGAGATTCAACCAGTGATGAACAGATTCTGTGAGTTTGTGTTTGTTCACAGATTTTATTGTCACTTAATAAATACGAAATAAAAGCAGATACTAAGGTTCTCTTCCCTGTTATCTGCAGCACTGATGATGATTCCAGCTGGTTGGCCTTAGATGCTTATCTAGGACAGGATTATTTGCGTTTGGCAGTAAGTTTTTCTTTTATCTTCTTCATAGCAGTCTGCACCCATTTCTGGTCAGCACTTACGCAGATCTTGATACCATTTCTAGTGATAAAGCTATAGGAAGAAAGAAAGCAAACCAGGCAGCCATTAAATTCCAGTCTCTAAACCCAGATTTGCTGTTCTTGGTTTTCATGCAGAACATGGCGAAAAATGTGGTTAAACAATTTCAAATGCTGGAGTTTGTAAATGTTAGCTGGAGTAACAGAAGCAAGCAATGTTAGTTCCCTATTCATGGCATGGGTATATGTGGAACATACATGGTCATGTGCAGTAAGGAAGCATCACTCCATAAAATGGAATCTCAGTTGCCTGCCTTGGCTCTGTTCTGTAGTGTAACACATACAGTATATAACACATACAGTATATAACTGATATTAAAAGAAGGAGCATACCTACTGTTCTGAGATTTTAGATTAAATCATGATGAACATTAACGTCCTGGGATTTGATAAAAATGCATGCTAGTGAGCTCAAAAGACCAAGCACAGCTCCTAGCAAGAGTCAGAGTTACCCCATATTCTTTCACATGATCTTTCCCTGTGGCTCAATTCAGTGCACTGCTCCACCCTTGCTGAGATTTTTCCCCACTTGCTGATCACCAAAGAGCTGACTGTTCAGTGAGCTTTCTGCCCATATTCATGAACAGCAGACACCTCTCAGCTCTCTGAGGCCCACTCATGTCCCACTCAGGCCCCACTCCCTCAGCTGTCAGGTGAGTCCTTCATGAGAGAACTGGAAGGGTGACCTGAACTCGGCAGATTTAGTGAGTTGGGCCATGATGTCCCTTCCCTTTTCTTTGGTAACATGTTTGCATAGGCAAGTCTGAAGGTAAACTGTGCACTAGATACTTACATTACAGCATTTGCTTGAGTGTGCTTTTCGTAGCCTACAAGATTTCGGATGCTCAGTTGTTTTGTATGCAGATTTACACAAGTGGCTTTGAGCATGGACTGACTTCCAGCACTTCCTAGAAGGGAAAAAGTAGATAAATGAAAAGGGGAATAAATACTATATTTATATTTAGCTATAATTACTTAATAAATTGTGAAATCAAGATGTCCAATTATGGTAAGAATGTGAGAGTCTTATGATTTACAGCCACAATACCACTTATACAAGAGAACTTGAGCTATTTTTCGTGATGCATCCTGCCATCTGTAAAGTGTTATTGTTCTTTCAGTCAAGATATTAATCTTCACCTGTTAATCTGAACAATGGTGTAATAATTCTGCCCCTAGGAAGTGACTGCTTCCATAGCAGAAAAGGTATTTGGTATCATTCATATTTGAGTTTGTGTCATCTGCAAATAAGTGTCCATATGGAGCAGTGCTTAGAACTGGCACCTTTACTGGATAGATTTCTATATGGCATCCAAACTAGTAATTCCCCCTACTTTCCAAGTGAAGACAGGAAAGCAAGGCTAGTTCTCTCACAGTGGACATCCAAAAGTAGTGTTAAAAAAAATTGTTGAAAGAAAAGGAGGTATATCTGCCAGAAGAACTAAGTACCTACATCCTTGCTATAAGTCTGGTTTCATAGTCAATGGAGTGCTACTTAATCCTTGCTTTCCCCCAAAGTTTCCATACAATTGAGGGAAATGTACTGGTGATTAATAAAGAGAATCATGACATTGGCGTAAAATTTTCTGGGTAGTTGGTATCTTACATAATGATAACTCAAAATTGGAGCTCATTTAAATGAGATGGAGTATATGGATACATATATCTGTAAGTCTCTGCTTGCTAGTTTGGGGTTTTCTCTCACTCGTGAAAGAGAGGTTTGGGAAGTGTAAGGTAGAAAACCCTTTCAGAAGAGCTATTATGAGGAGATTAGGGTTTATTTCACTTAAGAAAGCTGTCCTGCCTGAAAAGAGGGGTATCTTTCCGAGAGACAGTTTTAGATATTTTCTCCTCCTGCAGTGCAGAGAAGCTCTGCCTGGTATGAGAAAAGATAAGTTCTTGTGGACTCGTTTGGAGGCCCCCACAGTGAAGGGGGGTGGAGGCTGAGACAATAAAAACCCTGAGAAGAACAGAGGGTGTGGTATGTCTTTTCCTAGGCCAGCTGCAGTTTGTGTTCTTGACTTTGGAAATAAATTCTCCTAAATCCTTCCACTGCTTGGTATTTTGGTGGTACTTTAGCACATTTGACCTTACAGGAAGGCATGAGGCGGGACAAACAGAACACTGCTGCACTCTGAGGTTTCTTTCCAAAGAATTTAAAGAGAAACTGGCTTGAATAAAGTCCAAGAGCTGTTCAGGTGCACCTTGCATAATCTCATTATCTGTGAGCTTTTCTTTGTTTGAAATAATTAGAATAGCTGAGAAAAGCCCACATCAGCCTTTGGAGAAGCTGTAGCATAACCAGTGCACAGGTACTGGCAGAGTTGCTAGTTCCTGAGGGTTTGTTTGCCTGAAGGAATATCTCTCCTGATCTTGCTTTAGTCACAAGTAGCACTATGCTTTGTTTTCTTTATCATTCTTTCTAGTCCTTTTTCAATTGCTTGTAGACCAGCTCAGTGTGCTCTTTCAGCCTTGGTGATGTTTATGGCAAATTCTACATCCTGGAGAATGACACTGGGAACCATCAGTCTGTGATGCAAATGCACATTGCCAAGAGCAGTATTATTAATGAACATATGAGAACGTGTATGATCCAGTTATAGCAGCACTGGGTCCACATACTCATTGTGTAGCTTCCTAATGTTTAGCAGGTGTCAGTTTGGTTTTAGTGTGGTTTTGTGAAGATACCTTTTCTCTGTGTTTCTCTCTGCATGTTTGTCAGTTTGCATATGGTTTGCATATGAGTGTTTTCTGTGATTTTTATGTGCTTGTTTGCATGAATCTGATTTTAATTGTGATAAGAATATGTGTGTTCGTGGGTGTATCTCCACATTTTCCATGATCTCTTAGCCTAATACAAAAGTCACTGACATAAACACCACTGTAGACAGATTGATTTAAAACGTAGCTAGTAAACATGGCTCATCTCAGTGCTCCTATATAGGTCTCAAATAAGATGTTAAATTGTATGGTTCTTTGAAGAAAGAGAAGATCTTGTATAAATCCATTACTGCCCTTTTTACTTTTTGTTCATGGTTTGCCTATCCATACCAAAAGATTTGTCCAAAAGGCACAAGCAAATAAGGCAATAGGTGACCCAGAACTGGGAGAACTTTTTAAAATAGGGACATTAGAGGAATTCAGGCTATATAGTTAGAGAAACATAAATAACGAATAATATAATATAATTCATATAAAAGTAGTATGAAAAAATGTACATCTAATTCAAGAAATATTTTTCATAAAATGTTACTAACCTATAGTACTCATTGCTATATGGCATCAGTGAGATTAAAAGACATTGTGTCTTCAAGATTTCATGATTTTAAGAGAGAGAAACCCTTTAAGTGCTCTAAGGCACTGAAAGTCTCCTTACCTTAAAAGTAGAAGCTAACCACTAATTGTCAGGACATCAGATGAAATCTCCCATAGAGGTGCCTGTGGGGTTGCAAACTTACCTTTCACTGTGCACACAATGAAGATGCCAAGGCAGAGGATGACGAGGATAGCTGAGGTGTGGAGCTTCATTGCTGGTGCCTTCTCTGTCAAGGCAGAGAAGAAAGTGGCTGTTGTCTGCCCTCTTTCCCAGAGTTTATAGATTGTCATTCAGTGGTCAGTTCTCGGGTTCACTTTTGTGGGTGTCATGGAGGGCCTGAGTGTGAGTGGAAGAACTGAGTGTCAGTACTTTTTTTGGTGACAGAGAACCACCTCCTTTCTCCCACCATCCTTTACTAGCCCCCCTGTGAAGGCTTTTCCTGCTCAAACCCACTGTGGTTGCACTTGCTTCTGTGCTGTGAGTAGGGTTTATTTCAAGCTGCAAAAAGTGAGAGCTTTTGTTGTGTAGCGGAAACCTTTCAGAAAAGTTCCTGTCCTTTCACACCTCCATTTTGAGACCTTTAGCTAAGCCACACTGCAGAGACACAGAGTAACATTCACTTCTTTGACCAATGGACCACAAGAGGGGGAACTGTGAGCTAGAGGAGGACGGAAAGAGGAACGTCTTGGCTCTTTCCAGAGTGGCTGTGGATAGCTGGTCACCTTAACACGTAGCTTTGGAGGTGTATCACTGCTATTTCCTATGAGTGTGGAGGTTGTCAGAACTCTTCTGTTTGCTCTGTGGTTTGATATGGCCAAAGCTGATATCAGCATGTGCTGGGAGAAACAAGAGTGAAGGCACTTTTGCCTATGGATCTAGATCCACTAAGTCTCCTGCCAATCAGGCATTAGTACAGTGGTTTCAAAGAGGAATAAGATTTCATAAAGAGTCATGTTAGAGTTGGTGATTGGGGTTTTTTTTGTTGTTGCTTTTTCTCTTTCATTTTTGGGGGAGGCATAACTGAAGTACAGTGGTTTCAAAGAGGAATAAGATTTTATAAAGGGCTGTCTCAGGCTTGGGTTTTTTTGTTTAATTTGTGGTGTTTTGTTTTGTTGGGTTTTTGAGGTTTTGGGGGGTTTTTGGTTTTTTTTTTTGGTTTGTTTGTGTTTTTTTTTTTTTTTTGTGACAGGGTATTTCTAGTATAAAGAATGGATATCGATCAGTGGTTGGTGAGCAACTGTAGTGTGCATCAACTGTTTCTCTTGGGTTTTATTCCTCTCCATCACAATTATTACCCCCTTTCATCACAATTATTACTGTTATTCTTAGTAGTAGGATTTTATTTTGTTTCAATTATTAAACTGTTCTTATCTGAACACATGAGGTTTACTATTTCCACTTCTCTCCATGGGTGTAGGGCAGGGTGGTGCTGAGTGAGTGGCTGTGTGGTACCCAGTTTGTGACTGGGGATAAACCACAACAGCAAGTATGATGTTTCCTTGCTCTTACCTCCAGACCTTGCCTCAGCTGGTTACATCCAGTTTTCCAAACTCTTGATAACATCAGTGTAAATTCCTTTGCATGGGGAAAGGGCAGCATGTGGAAGTCAATTCCCAAAGATTCCTCAGGCAAATTAGCACTGAGCTAAGGACTGTGCTCAAATACATGACTGCTAGGCTGTAATGGCTGGTCTGCAACCTCAGGCACAGTCTGTAGGTCTTGCAGGTAGAGCACAGGTTGTGTGGTTTATTTGTATATACACTCACATCCTTTGTTCCTATTGGTTTCACTCTTTTATCTTACCTATCCTATGCAAACCAGGGAAACCCAGGGAAAAGCAATGGCAGGTAGAATTGCTTTAATTGAATGCCTGCTAAACCCACTTGCAGCACTAGGGAAGTTGCAAGGACATGGAAGCCAAAGCTTCAACCAAAGCCCCCAAAGGACATGCCTGATGCTACATGGGGAAGTAACCATATTGACCTCAGGAGCACTATTGGGAACTCTGTGTTAAGTTTGTGTCCAAGCAGCCTGGTGTTGTGCTACACACTGACTGAAATCAGTCCTTGGATGAGATATTCTAACTCTTTGGTACCTGTCAGCTATGAGATGCAAGATAGCAACCTTACCACTGATGGTGAAGAGAAGTTTTCTGCCCATTAAGAGAGAAGATGCTCCCCCACTTCTGGTCATTGATATGGTAGGGACATGTATGTATCTGCTGTCTACCAGCTGAATTGAGCATGAGCTAGCTCAGAAAAACTCAGTCCTTCCCACAGAACCTTCAGCAGGTTGTAGATTCCTCTGAGGTGTTGCTAGAAAGCCTGTTGTTTTTTCAGTTTTCCACCATCCTTCAGGTGGAATGGAAAAACTGCCCTGTGGCAAGTTTTCCTCCTTCTTTGTACTTCTCATTTGCTGTGGCCTCCTGGGCTGTGGTTCTGTGTAGTTGGCTTATGTTCAGAAAAGTCTGTGTTTCAGAGAAGAGTTTTGTGGGCTGGAGTTCCACAGCTCTGTCTTTGGATATTTGTTGATCTCTGCTATTCTAATGTTATATAAGGCTCATTTTGCACATACTCTTAACACCAGTGGGCACTTCCTCTGTGCAGGTGCAAAAAACTTAGCATAAGATGATCAGATGTGTTGTCTTTCTGTTTTCTTGCTTTAAAATAATATTTAAAAACCAGCTAATAAGTGCCCAGAGTGTTTTTCCCATGACTGCTGCTCAGCTCTGGATAAGTTGAATGCTAATGATCCTCATCCTGGGTCAAGAAATTTTTGCTGAAATAGTTGCTCCACATACCCTGTTTCATGACAGCAACCCTGCTGAAGGAACAGAAACATGCAGTGAGCAGTGTTGGGCCTAACATCAAGAATTTACTTGTAAGGGTAAAGAGTTTGAAGTACTGGGTTTTCTCATAGTGTAATCAGCTTTCAAAAAAGAGAGGTCAAATAAGTAAATCTTACATACTTCACAAATAAGTAAAATCTTACATACTCCTAGAAATGAGTGTCTTTAGTGAGTGTTCAGCAGCTTCTTGAAGATGTGCCATCAGGTCACTTAATAATTTTTGAAGAGTAAGTTAGGGCATTCATAGACTTTAAGAGGGGGCTTAAGAACCTCAGCTTACACACATCTGTATAACAGATACCTGTTTTAGGGTGGAAGTTGTCTCCCCCAGGAGATAACTATCTGTCTCTATTATTTATAGAAGCAATCTGTGCATGTATATTATGCTGGACACAGTAAGTAAGTGAACTTAGGTGTGATATATTGTTGAGGAATACATCTGGTGCAGGTAGCTCGGTTCGCGAACTGCAATTAGAGATGGAAATTGAGCTCTGGGTGGGAGCCCGGAGAGACAAGAGGCTGTGAACTGCCGACTTTCCATAACAACGGGTACGAAGACCGGTGGTGCCAGCGAGGTGGATGAACTCTGGGAGGCAGCCGGAGCCGAAGACTCAGGAGGAAGAGAGAGCCTTACGCGCGAGTATAGACTGTAAGGGTGTAAAAGCCCAGAGGGTCCTTTGTTGGAGGGTTCCTCCTCGGAGGCGACAGCTCGGGCTCGCTCTCTCTTACTGTACCGTGAATAAATTGCTTTATGGAATGAGACCTTGATGGGAAATCCGGGGTAGAGCCGTTAAGGAAATTTGGCTCTCACTGACTGCCTGTGAGTGGGGTGGGCAGGGAGTCAAACGGGGACTCGTCGGATCGCTGGAGCTGCCTGCTCCAGTGAAGGGGCTTCGGTCCCAGGAGTGAAAGTCTCTGGCGTTGAGGGGTGTAACCCTGGCGTTGGGAGTGTGACTGCCAGAGATTTTTGTGAATGGTCGGACTGGGAAGTTTCCTCAACATTTCAGTGACCCAGTTGGGACCCAAGGCCACTACCTTCAGAGTCTCTCTTCTCCAGTCATCCTATGGACGGCACTGGGTGAATTTGCTTGGGACCTTTGGAGCAGGGAGAAGCCAAAAGGTGAGTGTTAAAATTCCCTGAGCAGATTCTGTATAAATTGTAAGGGTGAATGTGAGTCTCCCCGTTAGTGTGGCATTTTGTGAAGATTTCGTGAAACTATTGGTCAAGAACAGGTGTGCAGCCTGATCAGTGGAAGGCACACGTAGAGGAGATGTGGAGCCCCCGTGAGAGGGGGAGGCTGAGAGGGGGAGGCTCGTGTCTCTCCTACAACACAGATGGGTTTGGGAGACCCATGCCGGGAGAGGCTTGTGTCCCAAGTACTGTGCAGGGAGTGGTAGAGTCCTTTGGCACACACAGAAAGGGAGATTGAAGTCCATTTTTCTTTTTCTTTTTTTTTTTAATCAGGTAAAAAGGGGTTTCAAGTCCCTCTTAGTGTTTGAAATGAAGGGAAATAAGCCCAGCATAGATAAGGGGATGCCCTTGGCCAAGGTTGTGCAAAATTAGGATAAATTGTTTAGTACAGTAGGACTTTGCAAAGAGCATGAAGTGATGTTGGGCCGGCAGTATTGGCCAGCTATACCTTGGTCTGCTAGCTCAGCAGGACAGTGGCTGTCACAAATCTTCAGTGGCACACTTGCAGTGTCTTTGTAGACCAGGCAGCCCCCAAAATCAAGAGATATTTTAAGAAGCACATGCCAGTGTGGCAGGGACCAAGACAGACATGGGACTGTTGGTCCCCAAAGGGATGAACGCCACCCACCAGGAGACAGGACTCCTATTTCTCAGAAGGCAAGAAGAGTATCAGAAGCAAATAAAGTGCTACCCATTGTGAGACAGGACCCTCTTCCCCTGGAAGCCAAGAAGAGTATCCAGAAGCAGATAGACTGATACTTAGCCCAAGGGATTTTGAAACATTCCATTAGATGAAGAAAGTCAGCCTTTGTTTGCCTTAACCTGAAAAAGACAGCAGCTGACTGGTACACATCTTCCCCAAGGTTTTGCCAGATCCCCTACCATTTTTTCACGAATATTGGGTTTGATTTAAAGGGTATGAAGTTACTGTGAGAATTACTTCTTGTACAGTATGTGGATGATTTGTTATTAGCAAGTAGTGATGAGAATGCTCGAATATTAGACACTACACTTTTATGTATTGCCCCAGTGAAAAGGGGACACTGTACATCTCCATCCAAACTTCAGCTGGGTCAAAAGAAAGTTAAGTATTTAGGCTTTATTTTAGGAAAATGGCAACAGAACTGGAGAGAATAGAGGCCATAATTAAGTTCCCCCATCCAGTAATCAAAAAAACAAATGAAAACCCCCCACAAAACCAAAAAAAAACCAACTGAACAAAAAACCCTAAAACAACTAGATATGAGAGAACAAGCTTTAAAGGTATAAAAGGAGCTTTAGTGTCTGCTGCTCCTGCTCTTGGGCTCCCAGATCCTTTAATCTGTATGTACATAAATGTAAAGGAATAGCTAGTGGAGCGGTAATGCAGAATTTAGGGCCCCATTAGAAGCCAATTGCATATTATTCAGTTGAGCTAGATCCAGTTGCAGCAGGAGCACCAACCTGTAATAATTCAGTGGAAACAGCAGCAAAACAATATTAGAAAAGAACTACCCCCTTATCCTGGGACATTATGTAACATTCCATATTCCATTGTGGCGTCAAATCTTGGACTGCATAATGTCTCATCAGTATTTCCACCTCATAGAATCATAGAATCAGCTGGAAGGGACCTCTGAGATCATCAAGTCCAACCCTTGATCCACTACCACCGCAGTATAGACTGCAAGGGTGTAAAAGCCCAGAGGTCCTTTGTTAGGGGGTTCCTCCTCGGAGGCAGCAGCTCGGGCTGTTGCCGTGTTCCTGCACTGTGAATAAATTGCTTTATGGAACAAGACATCTGACACTGCTGTGGGAAACCTGGGATTGAACCTTTAAGAAAAAACCTGGTCTGAATGAGTGTGGGTGGGGTGTGCAGAGGGTCAAGAGGGGCACCCATTGGCTCACTGGAGCTGCTGTGAAGAGGCTTTGGTCCCATTAGTTAATGTCTTCGGTGCTGGGAGTGCAACTGTCTGGGAGTCTTGTGGATGGTCAGACTGGGAAGTTTCATTAACACTGGAAGCTTCTTTTAAGTCATGGATTTCCTTTCGGCTTGCCACCTGAGAATCAAAAATGAAAGAAATGAACCAAAGCACGGAACAATATCAACTCCATTTTCAGTCTCATGCAGTCAAATTAACTTTTAGCTTTCTTCCTGTTGTTACACATGTGTTTGTTCATCATACTTTTTTTCAATTTAGGAAATAATTTTTTTCTTTGATATGGATGTAGATACAAAATTATATGAAAAAGTACCTAAATCTAGTATATGGATAAACTGCATTAGGTTCTTGTATTATGGATTAGAGGTCTGTCAGCAGCTCTTTTCTGGAGATGACTGAGACTTGATGTGTGTTTAAAGAATACACTAAACAGTAGGTAATCAAGTGTTGCTTTATACTGTTCAAACTACTTGGGTAGTACTTAGGATATTTTTAATTAGATGTATTGTTCTATAAAGCAATAACAAAGACTAGAGCATGGCAGATTGGAGCCTTTCCAAGACTCTGGTTTGGCTGGTGCACAGGTTCTGTGGGTGTGTGGTGCCAGGTTCTGTGTGGTGAGCAATTTTACTTGAAGTGTTCGCCTGTCTCGTGCACTCTGTTATTAACATAATTGTTGTAACTGGTTGTTTTCTTATTTCATTGCCGTTTCTAGTAACCTCTTCTTATTTCAACCCGTGATCTTTACCTTTTGTGTCTCCAATTCTCTTCTCCATCCCGCTGAAGGAGTAGGGGGAAGGGGAGTTGGTGAATAACGCCTGGTCTGGGGTGTTTCACTGGTAACACTAGATCGGGAAATACCATTCCTAGATGATGCCAACCTTTGGTCTATTTTCTTCATAGCAGTCTGCACCCATTTCTGATCAGCACTTAGGCAGATTCTGACACCGTTTCTATTGATAAACCTATAGGAAGAAAGAAAGCAAACCAGGCGGCCATTAAATTCCAGTCTCTAAACCCAGATTTGCTGTTCTTGGTTTTTATGCAGAACATGGGGAAAAATGTGGTTAAACAATTTCAAATGCTGGAGTTTGTAGATGTTAACTGGAGTAACAGAAGCAAGCAATGCTAGTTCCCTATTCAATGGCATGGGTATATGTGGAACATACATGGTCATGTGCATATATACTGATATTAAAAGAAGGAGCATACCTACTGTTCTGAGATTTTAGATTAAATCATGATGAACATTAACGTCCCGGGAGCAGATCCCAGATTTGATAAAAATGCATGCTAGTGAGCTCAAAAGACCAAACACAGCTCCTAGCAAGAGTCAGTTATCCCATATTCTTTCACACAATCTTTCCCCTGTGGCTCAATTCAGTGCACTGTGTTTCTGTCTGCTCCACCCTTGCTGAGACTTGCTGACCACCAAAGATCTGACTGTTCAGTGAGCTTTCTGCCCATATTCATGAACAGCAGACACCTCCCAGCTCTCTGAGGCCACTAGTCTCCCCTCACTCCCTCAGCTGTCAGGTGAGTCCTTCATGGGAGAACTGGAAGGGTGACCTGAACTCGGCAGATTTGGTGAGTTGGGCCACGAAGTGTCTTGTGATTCCCCTTCCCTTTTCATTGGTAACGTGTTTGCATAGGCAAGTCTGAAGGTGAACAGTGCATTAGGTACTTACACGATGGCACTTATTGGCATATGGTGCTTTTCATACTTTGCAAAATTTCGGATGTTCAGTTGTTTTGTATGCAGCTTTACACAACTGAATTTGCGCATGGACTGACTTCCAGCACTCCCTAGAAGGGGAAAAGTAGATAAATGAAAAGGGAAAAAATGCTATATTTATACTTAACCATAATCACTTAATGAATTGTGAAATCGAGAAGGTGTCCAGCTGTAGTTAGAGCATGAGAGTCTCATGATTTACAGCCACAATACCACTTATACAAGCTATTTTTCGTGATGCATCCTGCCATCTGTAAAGTGTTATTGTTCTTTCAGTCAAGATACTAATCTTGACCTGTTAACCTGAACAATTGTGTAATAATTCTACCCCTAGGAAGTGACTGCTTCCATAGCAGAAAAGGTATTTGGTATCATTCATATTTGGGTTTGTGTCATCTGCAAATAAGTGTCCATATGGAGTAGTGCTTAGAACCAGTACATTTACTGGATTTCCATATGGCATCCGAATGTGGATCAGTAACTCCCCCTACTTGCCAAGTGAAAAAAAAAGAGGAAAGCAAGGCTACTTGTCTCACAGTTGACATGTGAAAGCAGAATTGAAAAAAACTGTTTAAAGAAAGGGAGGTATATCTGCCAGAAGACCAAGTACCTACATACCTTGCTATAAGTCTGGTTTCATAGTCAATGGAGTGCTACTCAATCTGGCTTTCCTCCAAGATTTTCATACAACTGAGGGAAATGTACTGGTGATTAATAAAGAGAATCATGATATCAGTGTAAAATTTTCTGAGTAGTTGTGATCTTAAAGGATGGTAACTCAAAATGGAAGTTCATTTAAATGAGATGGAGTATATGGACACATATGTGTGTAAGTCTCCACTTACTAGTTTCTGGTTTTGTCCTACTCATGAAAGACAGTTTGGGAAGGCATGAGGGGTACAAGCAGAACACTGCAGCACTCTGAGGTTTCTTGTTAAAGAATTTATTGAGACATTGGCTGAAATATGTCCAAGAGCTGTTCAGGTGCACTTTGCTAAATATAAAACCTTCTTCACATAATCTCATTATCTGTGATTAGAATAGCTGAGATAAACATACATCAGCCTTTGCAGAAGCTGTAGCATAGCCAGTGCACAGGTACTGGCAGAGTTGCTAATTCCTGAGGGTTTGTTTGCCTGAATATCTCTTCTGATCTTGCTTTAGTCACAAGTAGCACAATGCATTTTTTTTAATGCTTCATTACAAATACCTTACTGTCTCAGACTGGTTTTCAAAATGTGGCATCAAGAGAGCTCAAAGATATTCAAGCCATCCTTACTTGTCCTGGAAACATTTTCTCTGCTGGCACACTATTTTCAGGGAATGGCTGCAGGGAATACCAGCAGAGCTTCTCTAAGCCTGGGAACAAACCCCAACTGCTCTGCACCTGAAAAGCTATGCTTTTTCAAGTGTCTTTGTTTTCCTTATCATTCTTTCTAGTCCTTTTTCAATTGCTTGTAGACCAGCTCAGTGTGCTCTTTCAGCCTTGGTGATGTTTATGGCAAATTCTACATCCTGGAGAATGACATTGGGAACTGTTAGTCTGTGATGCAAATGCACATTGCCAAGAGCAGTGTTATTAATGAACATATGAGAACGTGTATGATCCAGCTATAGCAGCACTGGGTCCACATCCTCAGTGTGTAGCTTCTTAATGTTGTGAATGTTTAGCAGGTGTCAGTTTGGTTTTAGTGTGGTTTTTTGTGAAGATACCTTTTCTCTGTGTTTCTCTCTGCATGTTTGTGGGTTTGAATACGGCTTGCATGAGCGTTTTGTTTTTTAATGTGCTCATTTGTGTGAATCTGATTATGAAATGATGTATTATCTAAAGGATGTATCTCCATGTTTTCCATGATCTCGCATGGAAGATTCATGATCTCTCCATGATCTGACCTAAACACCACTGTAGACAGACTGATTTAAAATATGGCTAGTAAACATGGCTCATCTCAGTGCTCATGAATGGTTTCAAATAAGATGTTGAGTTGTATGATTCTATGAAGAGGGAGAAGATCTTGTATAAATCCATTACTGCCCTTTTTACTTTTTGTTCATGGTTTGCCTATCCGTACCAAAAGATTTGTCCAAAAGGCACAAGCAAACAGGCAATAGGTGACCCAGAACTGGGAGAACTTTTTAAAATAGGGACATTAGAGGAATTCAGGCTATATAGTTAGAGAAACATAACTAACAATTAATATAATAACATTCATATAAAAGTAGTATATCTGGAAATAGAAAAAATGTACATCTAATTCAAGAAATATTTTTCATAAAATGTTACTAACCTATAGTATTCATTGCTATATGGCATCAGTGAGATTAAAAGACGTTGTGTCTTTAAGATTTCACGATTTTAAGAGAGAGAATCATGCACAGAAACCCTTTAAGTGCTCTAAGGCACTGAAAGTCTCCTTGCCTTAAAAGCAGAAGCTAACCACTAATTGTCAGGACATCAGATGAAATCTCCCATAAAGCTGCCTTTCTTGTGATTCTGATCTGGATTTCCTACACGTTCTGTCTTATAAATCAGCTGTGTCTGAATATGAATCTTGCTCATCAGACCACTGCTGCAATGTGGTGTAATTCCTGTCTCCCTGTGGAGTTGCAAACTTACCTTTCACTGTGCACACAATGAAGATGCCAAGGCAGAGGATGACGAGGATAGCTGAGGTGTGGAGCTTCATTGCTGGTGCCTTCTGTGTCAAGGCAGAGAAGAAAGTGGCTGTTGTCTGCCCTCTTTCCCAGAGTTTATAGATTGTCATTCAGTGGTCAGTTCTCGGGTTCACTTTTGTGGGTGTCATGGAGGGTCTGAGTGTGAGTGGAAGAACTGAGTGTCGGTACTTTTTTTGGTGACAGAGAACCACCTCCTTTCTCCCACCATCCTTTACTAGCCCCCCTGTGAAGGCTTTTCCTGCTCAAACCCACTGTGGTTGCACTTGCTTCTGTGCTGTGAGTAGGGTTTATTTCAAGCTGCAAAAAGTGAGAGCTCTTGTTGTGTAGCGGAAACCTTTCAGAAAAGTTCCTGTCCTTTCACACCTCCATTTTGAGACCTTTAGCTAAGCCACACTGCAGAGACACAGAGTAACATTCACTTCTTTGACCAATGGACCACAAGAGGGGGAACTGTGAGCTAGAGGAGGACGGAAAGAGGAATGTCTTGGCTCTTTCCAGAGTGGCTGTGGATAACTGGTCACGTTAACACGTAGCTTTGGAGGTGTATCACTGCTATTTCCTATGAGTGTGGAGGTTGTCAGAACTCTTCTGTTTGCTCTGTGGTTTGACATGGCCAAAGCTGATATCAGCATGTGCTGGGAGAAACAAGAGTGAAGGCACTTTTGCCTACAGATCCAGATCCACTAAGTCTCCTGCCAATCAGGCATTAGTACAGTGGTTTCAAAGGGGAATAAGATTTTACAAAGGGTCATGTTAGAGTTGGTGGTTAGATTATTTTTTTTGCTGTTGTTTTTTCTGTTTCTTTTTTGGGGAGGTTGTTTGGTTTTGGGTGGTGTTTTTGTTTGTTTGGTTTGGTTTTGTGATGTGGACTTTCTAGTATAAAGAATGGATTCTGAGAAAGTAACAAGGCAATCAGAGAGGCAGAATTTATAGATAAGAAGAAAAATTTTAATTTTGTTTTCTTGTAAACATGGTGTTGATAGCAGGTCTGTTCGCTTGTTACAATTGTACCTCTATCAAAAGCCCCATTTTTGCAGTCTTTGCCAGCCCTATCACCCAAGTTTAGGTGTCCTGTCCATGTTGTGGTAAGGTGGTTTGAATGGGCAACATTCCTACATACCAATGGTTTTGCACCTGCAAATATTCTTCAGGCCAGCTGTGGATGTCCAGGCCAAACACACAGCAGCAGCTGAACTAGCATCATCATCGAGAGCCTCTGAGCAGAAATCTCATCTCATGCTTTACACTCTGCAGCCTGGAACAAAAAGCCAGGCTTTGCTAGGCCCACAGAGATGCAGCTGGTGTTGGTATGAATAGGTGAGCACCAGGCTGCATAATGCCTGAGGTTGTGACAGTGGTGTAGAAGATCTGTCAGAGCAAACCTTGGAGATGTCATACGAGTGTTCTGATTTCAGCTGGGATAGAGGTAATTTTCTTCTTAGTAGGTGGCATAGTGATGGTTTTTTGGATTCAGCAGGAGAATAATGTTGATAACACACGGATGTTTCAGTTGTTGCCAAGTAGTGCTTGCCCTAAATCAGGGAATTCTCAGTTTCTCATGCTCTGCTAGCAAGCAATTGCACAGGAAACTGGGGGTAGCATGACCAGGACAGCTGACCCCAACTGATCAAAGGGATATTCCATACCATAAATTGTCCTGCTTAGTTCATAAACTGTCCAAGAGCTCGGATGGCTGGTCAGGGATGGGCTGGGAATCGATCAGTGGTTGGTGAGCAACTGTAGTGTGCATCAACTGTTTCTCTTGGGTTTTATTCCTCTCCATCTCCCCCTTTCATCACAATTATTATTGCTATTCTTATTGGTAGTATTGTATCTATTTTGTTTCAATCATTAAACTGTTCTTATCTGAATACATGAGGTTTACTTTTTCCACTTCTTCTCTCCTCTGGGGGTGGGACAGGGTGGTGCTGAGTGAGTGGCTGTGTGGTACCCAGTTTGTGGCTGGGGATAAACCACAACAGCATGATGTTTCCTTGCTCTTACCTCCAGGCCTTGCCTCAGCTGGTTACATCCAGTTTTCCAAACTCCATAAATTCCTTTGCATGGGGAAAGGGCAGCAGGTGGAAGTCAATTCCCAAAGATTCCTCAGGCAAATTAGCACTGAGCTAAGAACTGTGCTCAAATACATGACTGCTAGGCTGTAATGGCTGGTCTGCAACCTCAGGCACCGTCTGTAGGTCTTGCAGGTAGAGCACAGGTTGTGTGGTTTATTTGTATATACACTCACATCCTTTGTTCCTATTGGTTTCACTCTTTTATCTTACCTATCCTGTGCAAACCAGGGAAACCCAGGGAAAAGCAATGGCAGGTAGAATTGCTTTAATTGAATGCCTGCTAAACCCACTTGCAGCACTAGGGAAGTTGCAAGGACATGGAAGCCAAAGCTTCAACCAAAGCCTCCAAAGGACATGCCTGATGCTACATGGGGAAGTAACCATATTGACCTCAGGAGCACTATTGGGAACTCTGTGTTAAGTTTGTGTCCAAGCAGCCTGGTGTTGTGCTACACACTGACTGAAATCAGTCCATGGATGAGATATTCTAACTCTTTGGTACCTGTCAGCTATGAGATGCAAGATAGCAACCTTGCCACTGATGGTGAAGAGAAGTTTTCTGCCCATTAAGAGAGAAGATGCTCCCCCACTTCTGGTCATTGATATGGTAGGTACATGTATGTATCTGCTGTCTACCAGCTGAATTGAGCATGAGCTAGCTCAGAAAAACTCAGTCCTTCCCACAGAACCTTCAGCAGGTTGTAGATTCCTCTGAGGTGTGGCTAGAAAGCCTGTTTTTTCTTCAGTTTTCCACCATCCTTCAGGTGGAATGGAAAAGCTGCCCTGTGGCAAGTTTTCCCCCCTCTTTGTACTTCTCATTTGCTGTGGCCTCCTGGGCTGTGGTTCTGTGTAGTTGGCTTATGTTCAGAAAAGTCTGTGTTTCAGAGAAGAGTTTTGTGGGCTGGAGTTCCACAGTCCTGTCTTTGGATATTTGTTGATCTCTGCTGTTCTAATGTTATATAAGGCTCATTTTGCACGCACTGTAACACCAGTGGGTTCTTCCAATGTGCCAGGGCAAAAGCTTAGCATAAGATAAACAGATTTATTGTCTTTCTGTTTTTTTGCTTTAAAGTCATATTAAAAAGACAGCTAATAAATGCCCAAAGGGCTTTTTCTCATGACTGCTGGTCAGCTCTGGATAAGTTGAAAGCTAATGATCCTTATCCTCAGCCTCGACTGCCTCCTCTATTGCTCACTCATCACAGGCTGCATTCAAAGCAATCTGGAGGGAATCAAAAGATTCTGGATCATTTGCAGCCTTTGATACATCCACAGGCAAAGCCGATGGTATGATTATGGAGTTCTCTAGTAGTTTGCAAATTCTGAGCTGTGGATAATGATGACTGACTTTACAGCCTTGGGAGAGGATAGTGAGAGCAAGCTCCTGCTAGAGGTGTTCAAGGGCTCTCCTGAGCCCTTCATGCCCTGTTCACACAGAGCAGCCTAACTCCAGTTTACCAACACAGCAACTGGGTCACAGAGAGCTGAAGGGACATGAGACTGCTCATGCACAGCAGGAGGCAAAGCCATGGCCTGCTCTAGACAGCTCCAACTGCTGATTGCAGTCATTTTCCTTATTTTTAACAGTGTCAAGAAATTTTTACTGAAATAATTTTTGCATATACCCTGTTCCGTGACAGCAACCCTGTTGAAGGAACAGAAATGTTCAGTGAGCAGGGTGTTGGGCCTAGTATCAAGCATTTACTTATCAGGGTAAAGAGTTTGAAGTACTGGATTTTCTCACACTGTAGGCAGCTTTCAAAGAAGAGAGGCAAATATCTCCACAAATAACTAAATTCCTATGTACTCCTACAAATTAATGTCTTTAGTGAATGTTCAGCACCCCCTTGAACTTGAAGATGTGCCATCAGGTCACTTAATCACTTTTGAAGACTAAATCAGGGCATTCAGAGACTTTAAGAGGGGATTTAAGAGCCTCGGCTCACACACATCTGTATCATAAATAACTGGTGTTAGGGTGGAAGTTGTGTCCTGTCTCTGGTGTTAGGGTGGAAGTTGTGTCCTGTCTCTTCCCCTCCCCCCCACCCCCCCCCTCCCCAGCCCAGCGATAAATATCTGTCTCTGTTATCTATAGAAGCAATCTGTGCACGTGTCTTATGCTGGACACAGTAAGTAAGTGAAGTTACGTGGGATCTATCTGACCCCAAAATATTTTGGTTTCACATTGTTTCTTAACAGTTCAAGTACTGGCTTAAGAATTACCAGCTCGTGACATCCAGGTGTGATATCTCCATGACTTTCCTCCCTCCTCTTCTTCCTTTGCTTTTCAATATTTTGCTCTGTAGATTTCATGCTGATTTCATAGGTATCTGAAATAGCAGTTTATGTCCAGTATTTTAATTTATATTGTAATGGAGTAGAAACAAACACATGCTCAGTGCTCACACCTTAGCTGAGAGACAATGACTTTTAATCTATATTGATGGCTTAAATCACATTTTTTATAACTACTCTGTTTTTGCTGGTTTTGGCAGAACTCCTTTAGAAATGTAACCCTATTAATAATACTTTCTCTTAATCATAATAGAGCTTTTCCTTGTAGACCATCTGTTTCCACTACTTCACTGCCAGCTTTTTCCTGCCAGCTTTTCCCTGGTCCTGCCATCTTCCCTTGATGTATTATGTGCTCTTAAATAAGTTAGTTGTATCAAAATCTTTGTTCAGTTATCCAGCTTGAAGTAAAATTAGACCGAGAATGATTTGGTTTGAAAGGGAGCTTGAAACAAACATGTAAAGGTCCCTTTACACAACATAGACAACTTTACAGTCATCTCTATGCAGACACGCACCTGTTTTGCTGATGTTTTAAGCTGACTCAGCACAAATGTGGCACTTTCTGTATAGTAGAGGTCTTTACTCTTTTTTTCATTCAGTCTTGTTTTGGGTCATTTCAATGAGTTACACATTCAGTCAGG